TGCGATTATGGTAATATTTCTTAAAATCCATCAGACAAAGAATAATTTAGAATTCATTTATTCATAACAGCAAAAGCTAATATTCTTTCCTACAAAAGATTTTCTGACATTAATATTTTATTCTGAATTTCTGCTATTTTTGCAGAGATTGTTTGGATTCCTTCACCATTACCATAACCCAAACTTCTTTTTATTTTCTTTTCTTTTTCTTTTTTTTTTTTTTTTTGGTACTTTTTAGTCTTTTCAAAATACTGTTTTTCCTTAAGTAAATAAGACTGATTCCTTTAAGATGGTACTAGAGCTATCTTTCAGCTTTACTGTGGATTTATGTAAGTATTTGAAAAGAACATTCAATTCTCTTCTCTGTTTTGCAGCTAAACATTTTAATAGTACAGAATAAATCACTTCCCTACAACTGAAGGTATTTAAACAACTTTGCATATCCTTTCATAATTTGAAAATTTCTGTTAATGGTGCACACCTACTTTGGCAATAGGGGAATAACATGTATAAATGTCTGTTTATATGTGTAATTTCTATTATTTCAGTAGGAGTGACTTTCCTTTTTTTCTTCCTCTGCTGATGATCCCCCTCTATTTCTTCAGCATCTTTCTTATCTAAGATGCTTCAAACCTCCCTAAATGTCATTTTGAACTGAGCTCATAAAAGGCTGGCAACAGCTTCAAATACTTAACTAGTTACTTGGGACCAAATTGTGTACTCCCTTGGCCTGACTTTGTTGAAAGCCATGCAGTTGAAAGAAGAAAAAATTTGGCATGTAGCCCTGAGAGAATTGAAGAGTGACAACCATAGGAGCAGTGATTCAGATTAGTCTTTGTATTAAATTCACTGAAGCAATACATCTGGAATGTATTAAAACAATTTTGTTGTGTGATCTGTCAGCTCTGTGCTATTATTCTAGAGTCTTTTAAACCCTTTACTCCAGGTTAAATGAGTTTTGTGATTGCAAAGTGACAGATGACAGGAGATGCTTTTCCTTTCCATCTTTGTCAGGGGAATCTGACACGTTTCATGTTAGGCTCAATACCTTTTCATTATTTTACTGTGGAGTTGAAAATATAGGAAAAATTGCTTGTAATAAAATTTGCAGATGACAACAGAAACAGGGATTTGCTAGAAAAATATGAGTATAGAGAAGGCAGGAAATTTCAGAATCAGGTCTTACTATTTACCTTTTATTAATAAGGCATGTTGGCTGGTAAATATCCCTGACCAGGGATGCCTGTGTATGTGTGTGTGTGCATACACAAAGGTAGAAATAACAGTTCCCTTTTTTGTTAAACTTTGGTGACCTCTGGTGAGCTTCTTGCATACTCACTTCACCCTAGAGCTCTTTGGCTGGGAGTTTTGTCCTTTGGGACAGAGAGGTGTTGGATGAGACCACTTATTGAGGCCATTCTGTTCTACAGGTGTGTGCCCCAACTTTCCTGTCAAACTTGGTAGTTTTGGAAACTTGGTTGGTTTGAGCTGGTTTTCTTTGTGGCCTGTTGAGTTTATGGCTGGGGAGCATTTCCTGGAGAGCTTTATAGGAAGTGACCTAGTGATCTTTTGGTTTATTCATTGTCACATGCAGACTGTGAGGAACAGAAACAAATAAGCATCATAGAATCAATTTGAAGTGGTTTTGAGTTGCAGGTCAAATAATTATAAAAATAGACCTTGAAATTTATGGACACTGGGCTACTCACTGTGAGAGACTTCTTTCTGTGTCCTTTAGCTTCACTTGGTCACCTACAGCTAGGTGTGTGTTTTTCAAGCTAAACTAAAGGGTGGGGGAAAAAGCTCAGCTCAAAACCCACAGTCTGACATGGAGAAGAGACACCTTTCCAAAATATAACAAAAGATCTCCACAGACATGAGAACTTGCTCTGCACATCATCATTCCTGTGATGACATCTAGAGCTTCATTTCTTCCCTTGCTGTCTTTACCCAGACAGGTAGTCTAGCATTCCTACTCGTAGAGCCACAAAAGTGCCCATCTGAAATACAGGAAGAAGAAACAATTGATTAGGCTGATCAGCACTTGTCTAAAAGAGCACTGCTGCCAGCCCTTCATCTGAGGTTTGCATTGGCATCCCCAGACTCTGTCCCTGGCTGGTCAGCAGCTGGTGGTAGTGCAGAACTGTGGCTGTGCTGCATGGCTGTGCCAGGGCTGTTGCCACCTCAGTACAACAGGATCCCAGATCCTGTTCCCCAGCAGTGGCAGAAGGTGGTACCAGGTGTTCTTTGCCATTTCACCATTGTCTGGAGCATTTTCCCACAGAAGTGTCTTATGGCTGGCAGCTGTCCAGTGCCCTTCACACAACTTACCTAGGGTCAAAGCAGTTTCTCTGGGTGGCAGGGGAATTATGATTATGGTCAGTCCAACGGGAATGGCCATGCAGAAGCAAGGGACCAGTGAGCATGCAGCAGGATCTGCAAGTTTTCTTCCTTGAAATGAGTAGGTCTGAACCAATCTCGTCCTGCAGCTGTCAGTTTCCCACAGCCAAGAGCAAGACTGGAAGGTACTTGTCTGTTAATTAGTGGTGAGAATAAAATATTTCTGAAGTAAGGCATATTTATATATGGTTCTGTGTTGCTAAGCACAGCTAAAGGAAAATAAATAATTCATCCAAAGAATTGAATTTAATCTTACACAGGCAATGTTTTTACAAAATTAAAGACCTTTGTAAAATTGTGCTCTATCACATTGCCTCTACAAACATAGTACTGCTTGCTAGGCTGAAAGGTGAGCCCTGTTGGTGACCTGAATGTTCCAGACCCAGATTCCAGCTACTTTAAATTTCTTAGCTTGTGAGTGAAAGTGTGTTTCATAGGCTTTTTTGCAAGAGATGAGTATAGTGTCTGTCACCCTTCCCTTCCCATCCTACCCCGCCCCACCTTTTGAAGTTACTGATTTCCTGGTGACCTCCAAAAGGTATGCAATAACATCTAGCCAGGACACAGGTGTTAGGTGAAGAGGGTGCAGAATTTTGGTGTTTTTTCCACAATTTTTTTATTAATATGTAGTAATCAGCAGGTTCCTGCTGAGGTCTGGGGGCCAAGCAATGGGACATGCTGGCTTTGTGGGCCTAGCAGAGCACACCACCAAATAAAGCAGTTTTCAAGCAAAAGATGTAGGTGCCACGAGTTTCACAGGTGCCTCAGAGTCCAGTTTTGGTGTGGCATCTGATATCTTCCTTCCTTCTAGCTGCATTTCAAACACACTGGGACCTTTTCATTTTGGGGGAAAGAAAGAGGCTGCCCTCAACCCAAGCAAACCTTGAGTGTATTTCTTTGTCCAGGCCTTGGCTTCCGTGTAATTAAATGACTCATAAAATTGCTCACATACAGTTCTGCAAACAAACACAGGAATGTGTCATATTATTAAATGTTGTTGGGTTTTGGTGTTTGGTTAGGTTTTTGTTTTGTTTTTTCTTTTTTTTTTTCTTTTATATAGCTGGCATGGAAAAAGCTGTGGGAGTTTTGGGAACAAACTGTGAGCTTTGTACTTGTGCTTGTATAGCAGAAGTTCTGGTTTGCATTAACTCGGGTACAATGTGACACTGGAGGGTGAATTTCTGAGACATGATTCAGTCTTTGCTTTTTCCTGTAATCTGACTTGTGTAGTACTCCAGCACCAACAAGAACCACTACTTGTTCTGCTTATTCCTTATAAGTAGAAACCACAAAAAGATGAGGAATGCCATGCACACTCCCTATGGCAACTGCAGAGTGGACAGACAAAAAGGAAGTCACGGCTGACTGAAGAGTTTAAAAATAGTACCTCCCTGCTTCATGCCCCCGGGGAGGCAGTAACGCCAGTGAATATACAATTCTAAAATACCCAAAGATATCCATGACAGATCCATAACAGAGTCAACAACACATTTACAGAAGAAAAAGAAAAAAAAAACAACAAGATTTTGTGCTCTGCTGCATTAGAAGTGTGCAAAAACTGAGGTGGCTCCTGAGCACAAGGTGTGTAGCTGCATGCATAGAAACAGCTCAGTTTGGGGGATTTACTGGCAATAAAGGATATCTTTATGAAACAAAATGATATTAATAATATAGGTTTTTATATGCAACTATGGGTATAAAGATGTGTAATTACTGAAGAAAATAAATGGAAATATTGACTCTAAATATGTATCTTTTGGGAAAAGGAACATCAAACCTAGCCAAACAGTCAATTTACATATGCTCCGAAGTAGAGGGAAAAACACCCCAAAGTGCTAGTCTTTGACAATCTCAGTGAGCTTGTACCTCTCATGCATTTCTTGATGTATTCATGCTCCCTGCAGCCATCTCCTTGTTATCTGACAAGATAACAATTTTTCTTGTTATCTTCTAGAACTATCACTGAAAACCATCATTATTAATTCTTGCCAGCTGGTCTCAGCCTCAGATTACTGGAGGTGGAACCTGATGCACCAGCCAGAGAGAAATCTTTTGGTAACACTGGCGAAATCTGCACATAAATTAGAACAAGACATGAAGATGCAGCTACAATAGTTGTGCAGCAACAACTGAGAAACAAGACATTACTGAACTCAAGTATGAAATAATGACAAGAAATATTTGCATATGTGCATAAGTCTGTAATATTTTTGAGGTAAAGTCTTCAAGGGGTTCAAGAGACAGCTATTAAAGTTCTCTGCTACCTGTTCTGCTGCTCAGTCATGCAATTACAGTCTTGCTGTTGCTGAAACTGGCACAAGTTCTCTTTATTAAAGCAGGAAGTAGGAAGAACAGATGTTGATGTTAATGCAGCCACTGGCAGGTGGCAGTGGAACAGGACAGTGTCATTGAACAATTCTGTGCAAATTTTTCCCTATCTTTTTCTGTCGTTGCAGAAATGTGTTGCATTTCTAACATGGCAGAGGCGCAGGGAGCCTGGCACTCAGCTGAATGAGTCTCTGGCAAGTGGAGTGTGCTACATGGGCAGTGTGGCTGCAGGTGCATGGCAGTGGCATTCCCCCATAAGCACTTTGACACAGTTAAGCAAGACCTAACAGTTTATTGACGTGACATTTAAAGGCATTTGCAATGGTGGATAGACAAGGGGAGTTAATGATCTCTGCACATTTACACTGGACTGGTCATCCAGGGACTATTTACATTTGAAATAATGAATTTTAATGGACAGTGGTGTAATACTTTTCCCAGCTGCCTCTTGTTTTCTCTCTTCTGTGGTTATCAAGAACGTGCACACCTCCACTGCCTCAGGGAAGCAGTCATTATACTCCATGCAGAGTTAATTATATGCCAAGGAACCCAGTGGGCCTTTGTCTCTATTATCACATACGTGACAGAAAAGAATAAAATACCTATTTGGACATAGAGGCATAGCTCTAGCTTTGCTTCAGGGAACTCTGAGTGATTGGAGGACTGTTCTCAGGATTTGCCTTACATCTCTCTGACTGTTTTTTAAACAGGAATCTATTTTTATTTCTTCTTCTGCATGCCTTGCAGTCTTCAAGTTTTCTTGAGTCTGCCCTCACTAAACTTCAGGCTGGTAATTACAACTGCTTGCTTAATGTTTCCCTATATTATTCAATCCATATGTCACCCTCACTCCCTTCTAGGCATGTGTGGGGCGTAGTCTGTATCTTTCTGCGTGCAATCCCTCATTGCTGTGATCACTTAAAAGACAAGGGGACACCGAGTCTCAGAAGTCTCTGTTAATCATCCACAGCTGACTATTCACCATATAAATAAATGATGATTCGTCTTCACATGCAGCATTGCTTCACAGCAAGGAGCAAAGAGAGTGTGTCCTCTGTAACACGCAGGCACAACCACAGGCGGGGCAGAGTACAGAGTGCCAGGGATGGCCAGACAAGTGCTCCACTCCAACCGTGTTCAGGCATTGCCACCTCCTGGCAGGGCTGGGGTGAGGACACACTTGGTGCACGACCTGGCTGTGCAGGCCAGGCTGCTTGGCAAACTGGCAGGACTGACTGTGTCGATTTAAGGGGTGAAAATTATGGGTATTTCTCACTGTCTGATTAAAAACTCCCTTTTTGCACAGTGTCAGAAGCAACAGCTAGGGCTTTAAGATGTTTGGATGTGTCTTTATGGAAAAAGCCACATGCTTCCCATACTTCAAAATCACACTCCCTGATTTTGTAAATTTGATTCCTGACCAAAGGTGTAAATACACCTTTGTGTATAGGAAGGTTATAATACACCAGTTTTCCTCCAGTGAAAAGCCCTCTTAGCATGTTAACACCTAATCCTTCATTTCCACCAGCCTCCCAAACTAAATGCTGCAGTTTTCTGCCCCTCAACTCTGTCATGACAGTCATCTGAAGGGTTACACCAACATGTGGCATTTCTGAGACAAGTCAATCTAAAAATAGGCAACCAGATCCAGGTAGCCAAAAGAGAAGTCCCTTCATGTCAGTTGATGGTGCAGCCCCACAAGTGGGAAGGTGCAGCAATTAGGCCAGAGTTGCTATGCAGGAAAGCATCCAAAAAGGACAGAGTCACTTGGTCACTGACTGATCCCTCCCAAAGGTAAGTAGCTGCTTGAAGAGTTGTCTACCGTTCCACCTTTCTTGTTTATTATTCAAATTGACATTCACACTCATTTAGTCTTAGCTTTCCTGAGAACCTGAGCATGCAAAAAAAGCTAAATGAAAGACTAAGATGTTGCTGTTTTTATTTTAGAATTCCTAGAACAGCTGTCCGCATCTGAGGGAGGCTCTACATCATATACTGTGACCTAAATCTTGCAAAACTGACATCTGTAAGGCAGAAATTCTTCGCTAGCTGATACACTGCACTGACTCCTGGCATCTCTAACCTTCCAGATTCAGCACACTATTGTTGTAAATCACTTTGAAATACTTAGGTGCAACAGCAATGTGCATATTTTGGGAATTTCCTGCTGTTCCTGAATAGCTCCAAAAGCAGCCCAAGCATCAGTGTCCTGTCCTGGTGGGTACCTTTCACTGTCAGTAGGAAAATCTCAGTCTTCCACAACAATCACAGTAAGTCAATACATATACACTCTGCAACAGCATCAGGATTTTTTACAGAGCATGTAATTATGAAAGGATTCTTGTTAAGACAGCATATTTTGTAAAAGTATCTTTAATTAAAATTTTAAAACCTAATCCATTCATTTCATGATACTTTATATTCTCATTGTAAACTTTTATTATGTAATAGTGAAGTTAAAAATAATCAAGTAACTCCAGAAAGTGATGTTGACATTCACTCAGAAGAGAAGAAATAATCCTCCAGGTTTGTGGTATCAGACATCACTTTTAAAGAGAGTGAGACCAATATATCTCTCATTCTGGAAAACCGAGAACTGTCACTCGCTGGTTCATAGAAATTTGTGCAATTTGTTTATAACTAATATCCCCATAACTGTACTAATTGCACATGTAGAGATAACAAGTTCTCTGCAACATAACTAAAGTGACAAACACCTGTGTACAACTATGGCTAACTTCTACAGAAGCTGGTCTTATAGAAAAATGTTTCTTAAAAACAAAACAAAAATCATCTTCAAGGTAAGTCATGTTTGCTCACATTTGAAATACAGTCTACTATCTTCCAATAGTCTGTGATGCCTTGCACTGGATAGCCAAGACTAAACTACCAAAAGGCACCATATATTATTTAACAAATAGACTGTAAACTTAGTATAAAGGAAAAAAAAATACCAGTAGCTTCTACATTTGTTTATAGTCCTGTCTTCTATGAAAATTATTTCACCCTTTCTCAGTTTAATTGCTCACACAATTTAATTACTAGAGAAAAAAAACAAAACAAAACAAACCCCACTGCGTCTCTAAGATTACTCTGTTCACACAAAAATTAAACACATATACTCTAACCAGCCAATGCCATAAATATATCTAGCTCTAAATCTTATTCTTTATATTCTTCTAAAATCTCTATATCTAGCAGACAAAATGTAAGCAGATTCCTGAGATGTATGCAAATGACAATAAAATAGCTGCTTGCGAGTAATGAGTGATAGAAATGTTGCTACTGATAATATTTCAAATGAGGTTGAGCAAGAAAAGCATAAGGGTAAAAACAGAATCAGAAATTGATTACCTAATTTGTTATTACTCTACTATACTTCTAATTTAATGGAGATGTACACTACATTACAGAAGAGTGATAAGACAAATGCCTTTTCCTGAGATGCCCACAGAGGTTTGTCTCACATGACAAATACTAAGATTTTGGAGCTGGTAATCTTGTTGTCTGTATGCCCACTATAAAATATTTGAACTAGATGTGAAATTTAACTTTAGAGGTGAAAAGGTGTGGTGAAATTCTCACATGCTTTTTAAAGAAAGGTTTGAAGAAAAGATAGAAATGATTGCTGCTCAAAATACAACACAAGAAGCTATGGTATACCCAAATAGATGCATAGAAAAAATATGTATGGAGAAGGATGGAAGAGCACAGAGAAAGGTAAGTGCTGCTCCATTATAGGTGTTTTTCAGGAATTCAATGCTGGAGCTTATGTTAAAATATAGAATCATCTTACAGGCTGGTATGTTTTCTTCTAAGATGAGAGCAAGCCTCTGAGTTCCCAGTTTTCACTAGGGAAAAAAAAACAACTCCCTGAGGAACAGCTGGGCTGAGGAACAAAAGAAGAGATGAGAAACAAAAGAAGATGGCCACATTTAAAAGATGTGATGATATTAGAAAGTCAGAACTCCCAATTCCCCTCTGCTTACTTTACTACTAGGAATAATGTGATTTGGTGTAAAGGGGTTTGGTGATAAAATCAAACACACTGTCAGTCAAAACATCTGATACACTTGTACAGTGAATTTGCTTCATAGTGGGAAATGTTTATGCTATTCTTCCTTGAGGAAAAGGAAAGCTGGAACAACTAAATACATTGAAAGGTTAAGAATGTTGATGAGAAGAATTTAAATTCCAATCTGCATTCCAATATAGGAGAGAAAGAGAGCTCAAAGTCATTAAATAGATTTTACAGTACTGCAAAATATAATGCAAATAAAGCTGTAAATAAAATGAAATGGAATGTAGCAGAAATACAAGCATTTTATCCTTGCTGTGCACTTTGAGACTGTTACACTTCCAAAACTCTTTTGGGGCTGGATTTTGTGCAGAAGGTAAGAAAAAACAACCTTACAGATGCAAGGCTCAGCTCTGAGCTTTGCAAGTTGAAAATGGAAGTACAAAAATCAAGGTTGCTTGGTTTTGGAAAATGAGCTGCTTCTCAGAGGGTGCTGGCTGGAGATGAGGAAGCTGCTGTTCATGCTGTTAGTGGGAAATGTCGTAATAGTAGTTACGTAATCTCATCTCGACTGCAGCAAATCCTGGCCGGTCATCAACACTGTGGGAAGATGGCAAGTGTCATTGCACAGGAAGGACAGACCTGTCAAGGTTCATGGGCCTTACAGCCCTCCAAACTCTACCTCAGGGACAGTTCACGTAAAGATGCTCACAATATTTTAAAAAGGACACTACAAAATTAATACCAAGTGACAAATACTACTACAGAGCATGCAGTCCATGGATTTACTATCATGCCTGTTACTTTGTGGTTGGCGAAGGTACTAGAAGAAAGAAATGATGAATCAGCTCCATTTCATTTTTTACTTCATTTACTTTGGTAATAATCTGGAGAAAAGAATATTTGCTGTGTAATATCTGCCTTATAATGACTAGTACCATCACACAGAAGCATGGAGAGGACCTTGCCTGCACACCATATGACTGTATCATCTTTCTTTTATATCTGCAATTGTTTGTTTATTTGGAGAACATGATTAAACTGACAATTCCTTACAATTTTACATTACATATTGTGATAGTTACTCTGCCTAACCTGAACCCCTCTTTTTAAAATTTATTTTCTCTCTAATAATAAAGATACTTTAGTACCAAAAAAAAAAAAATCAGCATGCTTTATGATATGTTTTTTAATAATAACAAAACCTGATCCCTTTCACTGTAGAACTGTTATAGCATTCCTTGAGTCAAACCAAAGGGCAGGAATTACTTTTTGGTTGCATGTTCTTTCTAGAGTATGAGGTTTAATAAAGCTAACAAAGAAGCAAGGTACCTAAAAATGAAGTACCAGCGCTCCTTAATGTAGAACTTTTTGGACAAATTTATTCTCCAGATGGTGAACTGGAAAAAAAAGTGATATTACAGTAATTTTGGGTGCTTTCTGGAGACTTCCTACAGTTAAAAGTAACTTCAGTGGAATAGTTTAAAACAATAAAACATAAAAGAGTTTTAATATACTAATTAAAAAAAAACAGGAAGGCTTTATTTTTTCTATATTTCACACTTCTAATTTCTAAATGGTTATAAAACAGAAAAAAATGTTTCTGATGTACCAGGTATGACCTGAAATTATGGTTTTCCTCTCACTGATGTCAGTGTGGGATCCAATTTGAATATATTCTGTTATTAGAGATAAACAGCTCAAAACAATTAAATATTGAGAAATAGAAAAAACATTTTGGCAATATGAGTTTGAAATTTCAGTAAAACTAAAGCCTTGGAAATGAAAATTAAATGAATCGCAATTCAAAATGAAACAAAAATATTTGCTTACTTTCAAAAATTGTTTTCAAAATGCATTAGACTAACCTTATTGTGTACTTATTTTTTATGCTACCCTGTATTTTGCATATAGCTGTTCTGGCAAACTCTGTTCTACAAAACTGGTTTTTTGTAGTACGCTCTATAACTCAGTTTTCGCCTGAAAGTGCAATTGACTACTGAGCTTGGAGTACAGTTGTAAGCTAAACTCCAGCTGAAAAGATGTATTTTGAAGCAACCCCTACTCATCGCCTTTCTGGCTATGAATCATGGAGATTAAAAGGTATTTCTATCAAAAGAGCATGCCATCACACTCACTTGTATGTCCAACACAATTTCATTAGACTGTAGACTTCTGTTGGGCAGACTTCAGGTCGTTCCATTCGTTCTCCTCTTTCAATCATCTGTGCAACTTCACCACCTTTCATTCCCTGGAACAGAGTGACCAGAACAGTCATCCAAGTTGCAAATGATTACAGCACACATGGTAGCACAAACTGAACAGAGGTCTGGAACTGATTTTTGGGCTATCCTTCGACTCATTTGTTGCATTAGTTAGGACAAGATACTGGTTCAAATCTGCTCTGAATTTTTAAAGTAAAAACATTGCCAAATAAAACCACTCACCTTATATGGTTTTTGTCCATAAGAGAAAGCTTCCCACATTAAAACCCCAAAGCTCCAGACATCACTTTTGCTAGAAAATTTGTAGAAATTCATGCATTCTGGAGCATACCATTTGACTGGCCATTTTCCATGACTTTGTGCCTACAATGTGTCATAACAGAAAGGAAAAAAAGCAGACTAGATACTATGATAAGTAGTAAACAACATCTGAATGCACATAATTAACATTAACTTAGATCTACACACATTTGCACTAAGTACCATAACATTTCTGATGCAGTTAGCATTAGAGAAAATGGGTAACAGCTTCTTCAAAAGTGTTACAAAATTGTTCTAATCTTCCACATTCAAAATAATGCATTGAAATGAAATCTGTGGTGAAAAAAAGCATAGCTAAATGACTTAGAGTCACACTTTCAGTGGCATTTAATTTAAAGTTGCTCTTTGGAATCAGTTTTTTCCATTTGGATCTCACCAAGGCTAAGAGACGTGTCCAGATGGTTGAAGTGGGTGCTCTACTTCAAAGCACAGTGACTTTCTTGTGGCAAACTGCAGTTTACCTAAATTATGCCATAATGCTGCTTTGTGACCATTCAGCTGTCTAGCTATACCAGCACAGCGCTAGATCTAGTGATGGGACCCTACTACATCCTGTGGAGTTGTAAAGAAAATGGACTTTGATACTAATTCTGGAGGCCCTGAGACTGGGAGTGACCAGCTAGGGCAGGCTAGTGGCAGTGATTTAAGATGCCTTTTCTGGCAGCAGTCACTACTGTTCCTACACAGGAAGGTCGTCACAATGGAGCATGGGCTTGCTTCTCTGTAGTGTTTCACGGGTTGGATTATTAGTTTCAAAGAGCTGGTAAAAAGGAATAAGCAGAAGGAAGAAGTAATTTGAATCGAAAGAGTGTTATATCAGGAAAACAAATACAGACATGATAACTTTGTATCCCACCTTTTATGTTATTAGATGTTGCAATTATTTTAATCACTTGAGGTGTGCAGAGGTCCAAAGAATTTAAAACCCAAATAAACAAATTTTGCTTAGGTTAATTTATTATTTAACAATGGTATAATTTCAAAAACCTCTCCTAGTTCTGTTCTGTAAGACAGTGTATTAGTGCTAAGCTACATTTTACTTGTACGTGATGAGAACTGTTTTGCAACAAAAACATTTTTCCCCATGTACATAAGGTAGTATCTCATTTCCACAATAACTTTCATTCTTCTAATGACAAGTTTATCAAAAGTAAATGAAAGTAGACAACTGAAAGGAGGAAGAGCTTTTTTCTTCCCTACATGTTTCTTAATGTTGATCACATATTTTGCATTTGGTAATCTAATATCAGATTATAAAATAATGAATGGTACATAAAATTTCAAATTTTCAACTGCATTTGAACTGAAAATATCCTTATTAAGCTATGATACTACACAATTTTCATGTTGTGTTCAGACCTTACCTTGTAATAATTTTCATCAGCACTAAGAGCTTTAGAAAGTCCAAAGTCACTAATTTTGGCATAATGTTGTGTGACTAACAGCACATTTCTTGCAGCCAAATCCCTATGAACAAAATTATTCTCCTCCAGGTATTTCATCCCCATGGAAACCTGATGCACCAGCTCTGTTATATTCTTCTCTGTGACATGTCTGAAAATCAAAATAGAATTTTAAAGAGGTCAGTAGTTCATTTTCATGGAAAAGATATAAATCTTTACTCTAAACTTGTCCACATTACACTGGAAACCTGATTCACTTACATTTAGCTAAGCTTCGGTTTGAAAAGGCAATATAGGCTCTTGTCCTGGGAAGATGATGTGTGATCACATCAATAAAGGAGAAGTTGAAGGATATGTGAAAAGTCTTTCATTTATTCAAAATACTCTATTTTGGTAGAAATATTTGACAGTTTGGAGACATGTTCCAGTGAAGAATAACTACAATCATTAATTACTACATCAATAACATATCAATTATAATTGTCCTTAAATAAAAAAATAAAAGAAAGGAACTTTTCCACTCCTATGGAATGAAATCGAAGTTTACATACCTATTTTTTTGCAAAAATTTGTTCAGTGGCCCAAGTTCAGCCATTTCCATAACTAACATCCAGGCCTCAGCTTCACATATACCTATCATTCGGACAATATATGGGTTATCCAGTTGCTGCATTACATTTGCTTCTCTCAGTAACTCATCCTTTATGGCTGGATCATTACTCTCATTCTTCAGAATTTTTACAGCCACAGGCTTGGCACCCCTGCAAAAGAGAATCCAGTTCTGGAACTAGTTGCTGAAAAATCTGTGCACCAATGCCCACAGTATTCAATAGATATTTCCATTCACATAGCATAAATTGTGACAAAAGACAGAATTGACACTCAGAGGAGAAAAAAACCAGCCCTAACAGGAACCTCTCTCTATCAAATGCTCAGAAGACAGCTAAGCAAAAGAGCTATAATGAAAAGAATCTGAGAAAATTACAGATTGTCATAAAAATACCTAAAGAACCTGAAAGAAAAATACTGGACAAAATTTTCTTGTCCACTCTGGCTAGGATAGCATAAAGCTCTTCTGGCAAGAAAAGCTATAAAGAGCTTTCTAAGCACTAGGGTTTTTAGTGGGGTGAGACTGGAATATGCAGCACTGCCAGGTGCCAAGGCAAGACTCTGAAACCCTGAGAATCTAAAGCTTGCTTCTGCAACCTTCCATTCATACAGCAAACTGACAGAGTGACTGATGAGACCAACATAGCTCAAGTGTGAAACACTATTAAAATATACATAAGCTGAGATCAGAGCCCTTCAAATTCCTACATCCTATATTGGAAAAACAGAAATACTTTCTGCCTCTGAAAACCTCAGTTAAAGAAATGCCTCCAACTTCAAGAGATGAGAGTGTGTACATAATCAGTCCATGCACATACAGCATGCTGATAACATTTCACTATGAAAATGCATGAAGAGTCAAGTATAAACAGGGTCTGTTCCTACTGACATGACATGATGGAAAATGTTACAACACGTTCTGTCTTCTTGAAAAATAACATTCCAGCTCCAGGAAACTGGTATTTATCACACTTCAGGTAAAACTCTCTTTGCTATAGGTAAACTGTCCATGGCACTCTCCAGGTTTTCTGACAGATATGTTGTGCAGATGGGAAATACTATGTAGCATTAGAACTTTTGCAAGCTATGAAGCAAGGCAGTGGGATTCCCACTCTACTAACCCCATCAGGAGAGGAAATAGTCATAAACAGTACTTTCCACTTTATGACAAAAATGAGTGTGTAAGTGTACATACAAAGAGAGAAACTGGTGAATTTAGCTCAAATTAGTTACAGTCTGTCACCCCAAATGACATGCAAAGATTACTGTTACTTGAAAAGATAAATACTAGAGCTTTTACATATTGGATTCCATGGCAATAGAAGGTAACACTCACTTTTTCATCTTATAGAACCCTTTCTTTACAGTACCAAAGTTGCCAGAGCCAAGTTCACCTTCCTCCAAAGTCAACAATTTTCTGTCAAGAGTGACATTTTTTGGTTTAATTTCATCTGGATCAGCATATGGACTTTCATAGACCTCAGTATCCATGGGTAAGGCCTCTCTCTGATCACCTGCAGTTCAAACAATGAAAAAATTAGACATGATTTCAAACATTTATGCTGCCAGAGCTAATATATTCATCTTTTCTATGTTCAAGACCACCAGTGTGTTTGACTTGCAAGGGCACTATAAAGAAACCACATGCAGTCAATCTATATGCATTTTAGAGTTGACAAAAAGGCAGTGGCATTCCCCTGGTGACATGCTGTAACTACTGAACATTTGTGCAGGGTGAAACCAGGAGGCTCCTTGACAAAAGGAGGATTAAAGTTTGGCCCTTCTCCTTGGTACTTCCCATTAGTTACCTCACACAATTCTTCACTCAGAATGCTTCCTTATATGTACTTCTTTCTTAGGCATCCAACTTGTGACTGTCAACTAACTGCATTATGCTTGGCACTGTGGATGCAAGAGGGCACAATTCTTTTTGTGACATGTAGGGATTTAGTTTTTAGAGTCCAAGTAATAATACTCCAATGCAAAATGGAAAAAGGGGTTTCTGCTAAATGATTTTTGTTATAGATGGTGACACCTGTTATCTTCAGCTACCAGGCTTCAGTTATGATAGTGGCTATACCAATGCATAACAGAATGTGAAATATATGCAAGAAAAAAGAAATAAGGATTGAGAAAATGCTCTTCCATAAGCAAGAAAATTGCATTAATGATATATATTACTCTGCCTACCTCTTTCTGCTCCTGCAAGACCTCTGTTCCTTTGCAACACATATGGATTAAAAGGTGCTTCTTCTGGTGGGTGGCCGATAGCTGACTGAAGCTGTAGCACACAAATAAAGTTTTTCTATTTAACAATGCCTACGTAAGTTAATAGCACTTCCCTCCCCCCAAGAATTTTGGCATAAACTTTGCAAGAGACACAGAGGTGAGAATCAGAAGGAGAGGGTTCCAAAAAAGGTTATTTCATTCTGGAGGTTATTGTTAGAGGAGGCCAAAAGCACAGAGAGATATTACAAATATTTCAGAGCATTAGATAAGAAAGAATTAACTGTAGTGGGTCATGCACAAATCTTTTTCTGCAGATATTAAATTTACATGCTCTTTTCAAATTTGCCATATAACACAAGTAGTCAGAAGGATTTCTCTTTAATCTGTTGTTCCTCCTTCTTCAAGTTACCTCTCCCCCTATCTAGGCCATGAGAAATTACTTGCACAAATGAAAACAAAAAACAATTTCCTGTTTATCTTGTGAATATTCCAGGGGCACTTTATTTTAAAGAAGTGGAAACAACTGTAGTAAAAAGTTACTACTTTAACAGGCTTGTGTAACGTCAGGGACAAACATCATGGACCAGATATTAGGCTTGTCTGTCTGCTCTGAGGAGGGGCAAGATTAGTTAATTAATCATCTGGTTCAAATACAATTCCTCTGCCTTTACTCTTGACAGAGAAATAATATGGTGTACACAAACCATCTCACCCATTGTGTCTTCTGGAGCTCCTTGCCTGGCACAATAAAGTACAGATGAGAGAAAACTATTGATCTGGTCAGTTCTGTTTGTGAGCTGTTGGGAACATGGAATTTCAGAACCTATTTCTGCATGTTAATTTCTTTTCAAGCAAAGAGAAACAAAGCTCTAGTGGAAACTGTCCCTGACCATGTCAAAGGGATTGTAACAAAATAACCTTTAAGGTCCTTTCCAACACAAACAGTCCTGTGATTCTGTGAAATTTCCTACAGCGAACATCCTATAGGATGTAATAAAAGCTTTATCATTTGGAAACTGCATTTAGTAGGAGAAACATCTGACCTGGAAACTACAGACTTTGAAATCATAATTAAGTTATCTGCCCAGTTTGATGAAATAGAAAAGGCTTCACTACATAGATTTTACTGCAAACCATGTGTAGGAAGCCAGTTTTCAGCAATATTCTGGCCTAGTAGTTATGAGCACATTGACATCAGGCACAGTAAGGGTAATATTTCTGACTTGGAGCAGTGTTAAAAGGCCATTTGCTGTCAAGGCAAGCCATAAAACCCCAAGACAGTTCTGGCATATGTCAAGGAACAAGCTGACTGATCTACCATTCTCAAGGCAAATGAAGGTATAAACTAAGATCCTTAGATTTTGTTTTTCTAGACTGATTCACCCTGACAGCTTTCCAAGACCTGTGTCACTCTATTTCACACAGGCAATTCACGAACCCCAAACCCCCATTAAGACTAGAAGTCAACTGGCATACTTTAAACTGGCCAAATGTAATTAATGTACAAATTTAATTAATTTTGCACACCTCAAGAATCCATTCACCAGTGGAGAACATCTGGTAAAAACATAGCTCTGGCCAAGACATAGCTGAGTCCTCAAATTAGACACATGAGATATTACTACTCTTTGCAATTCAAGAACAAAAACAACAACCTCAAAAAAATCCAAAAGGATTGTATGCATTTGCTCTGCATAAAAAAAAACATTTAAAATACACCACTTCCATGCTTGTAAATAAAGCACTGCAGCTGTGAACTGAAAATCACACAGTGACACCAGATATAACAAAGTGGGCTCTCTTTCTCAGAGAGCTGCTCATGTTCAAGAAGAATCATAGTGTCTTATTTATCATTACTTGGTTAATACATATAGAATTATTTCTAATTGTTGCAGATTGATTAAATAACTTAGTAATGTCTTTTACATTAATATTCCTACTTTCGTTTTTATTGAACTATCATTTAAATGGAGAGTCCTTTCTGCCTTACCCTTTTAAAACAGCAAGTACAATTCTGCAGATCTTTTTTGGACAAAAGGATCTTTGTCTTAATACATCTAAGGTATAGCATAACTGATTACTTCTTGCATTCTTACAAGAAACAGAGAATGGGCAAGATGACCATGGATTTATTCAACCAATAAAAAGGAGTACAAGAAAAGAGTCCTCTAGAGGAGCCTTTTAAAAATGTGACATATGAACGAAATGGCTCCAAATATTCTTAAATTGTACTTTTACTGTGGCCATTATAGTTTTATAGTAAATAGCATAGTAAGATTCTCATGAAGGCAAGTTGTACAGCAAGTGCAATATTCTTTCAGGTTAATAACTCTGATTTGAAAAAAATACATAAAGTCATCTTATTTTATTAAAAACTAATAGCTAAATACTGCATGACAGACATTTCATTAGCCATGAGAGGAGAGGAGCTTTGACTATGGCATCTCAGTTGCCACGAGGTGGCAGGATTTCACTTAAATTGTCCAAATTGACAGTTTTACGCTAGTAACACAGACTGAAAAATTTTGATCTGGATCTGAAAATATAATCTAAATAGTGCATTTGTGAAATAAAAAAAAAAAAAGTCCCAACTGCGCGTAAATATTACATGAAAAATAAAATAAATATGTTTTTTATGGTTTACTGTCTGAAAGTCTTTGACATCATAGAAGTAATTGTGTAATTGACCAGATCTAAAGTAAGCTGTGCTTATTTGGGTTAATGAATAGTTCAGAGCACAACTTTTGTCTAGAGTCTAAAATCTGGAAATATGATGTGGGTCTCAGTATTCCAGGTAAAGTACATGTAAATATTGATCAAATCGGGTTTCTGAAATTATTTGCCTAAATGATTGGTTTTACTCTGCCACTATGCTTCAATCTCTACTCTGTGTATATTATCTAGAAAGCAGGAAATAGGTATTTGATAGCAGAAAGTGACCAGAGCAAGACACAAGTTTTACCAGGTTAACAGAGAGCGGTGAGACCAAAAATATGTCTACAGAGTTTAGACCCCCACACCCATTTTTCTGAATTAGCCCAAAATGTATGATAGTTTGGCATTGTATTTCAGAGGGCTGAGAGCAGATTGTGTGACTGTGTCTCTATTTGTATATAACACACATTGAAAAAGAGGTATGAGTCCTGTAGGGATACACAGCTGACAATTGCTGTTGGTACCTCAGTATAAAAGAGAAGTGAAGCTGTAGGAAAATAATATTTGTTATTTATCTGGTTTATCAAATACAGTATACATCAAACACAGACTTTCACTCTGAACAGTAGCATAGTTCTAGGGCTTTTCATGCCTGCTCATTTTTGTTGAAGGGCAACTGGAAATAAATCAATAAACACATAGACTCATGGATCGAATAGGGGGATATATATTATTCTCAGCATGCAAACAAACTCACAGCTACATGCTTCAGAACTACATCAATTACTGGAGAGAACCATTTTCTGGCCATGCAAAGGCATTTTCAGTAGGACAGGGAAGGGGTCCTCTTGGCTCCCTGGCATCTTGCCAATTTTCCCATTCTGCTTGGTTTTGTGACATCTTACAATTGCTTAAATGGAAGTGAATGCATAAGGAGATTGGTGCACATAGGCTATGTAAGTATGCATTTTGTTGTTTTTATTGTTCCCTAAATGTGTTCAGTAATAACATAATTGTGTAAACAAGACAATTTTCTGATTACAAAGGAAAGTAGAAATATAATTTTGTTCTGAGTGGTTTTGAAAAATATTTTATCACATTTAATTTGCAGAAATATTGATATCTGCATTATTTTGGTATGCCAGAAATAAAATAAAAAAGAATCCCTCTATTTTTAAAACCCCTTCAAGCCCATTGCTTCAGTTATAAAATCAAGCCCATAATTATGCAGATGATTGGGATAGATGCAGAAAGCTTACAAAATCTTAACAATCTAATTGTTAGTAGTCAAGACAGCAAGCGAAAAGAGGGGGAGAAGAGAGTGAAATTAGTCATTTAGGTATTTTTAACTCAGTCAAAAACCTAAAAAAAAGTATATGAGGCACCTTTTTGCTGCCAGCCTTTGGGAAGGTATACGATTTGAGTCTTGAGATAATTCCACCTCCTGCCCAACTCTAGAAACCACAATGTCAAAGAGGAACAGTAAATGTGTCATGAAAATAGCTAAAGGTATTTCACAAAAAAAAGACACTCTAAAAGAAGAAAACACTCCCAAACTTTCAGTTGCTTGTGCCTTCAAGTACACACATATGACACATCAAAAAAACGCAGTACAGGAAATATTAGTACTAAATTTTATTTTGTCTGTATTACTGTCAAGCCATCCTGAACCTGTAGACATACCTTAAGACAGTTTTTAAATTCAAATTCACTGCCCTTTGTCCAGATCTGTGTTTATAGAGTATGCTGTATGCTTCTCCTGCCTCTGTCACTGAACTTTAGTCCCCCTCCCCCAACCCCCAAACGTATTTAGAAATGAGTGGATAACTTTCATGTCTGGAAGTATGGCTAATGTGTCAAGCAAAATTTGGAGCACACCTTGGTCATACAACAGTGTGGGTAATGAAGCAGAAAGCATGCTAGGTAATATTAATTCCAAACAAATAGGAACAGGCTTTATGCATATACACTTATGTTCTGTGTAAAGACACCTTTAAAAGATATGCAAATATATTTTACAAGAACACCTTAACTTAATTAAATGTGATAAACTAGCATTTTTAGGGGCCACTGAGAGATCATACATGACTATTAAAAACTGAGATGGAGCACTTCTTGTTCAAACATTTAGTCTGATGCTGAGGCTAAAACAACAATCTGAACCACATTCTCAGTCACTTTAAACAGCCTTTGTACTTAGATGTTCTGAACTTTTTAATAAGAAGCCCATTTGGACTTCTTATTTTCTGAGGAAGTATATTTTTTAATTTATAGGATTGGTATATTCCCTAGTTTTCTTTTAAAAGAAAATGTCTGATTTCATATTAAAAAGGTGTCTTTTGTTTCAAGACACCAAGGACAGCAGTGTGGTCCCTGTTGCTGCTGGAGGAACAGAAATCTTTTTGATGCTTGACATTCTTCATAACTGTGATGCATGAAAATTCAGTATGCTGCATATTGAAAAAGGTTACTGAATCAGCTGTTTTCTTTCTCTTCGTGAAATTGTCTTTCCATATTGGGAATTAATGAAACCTGAAGTACTACTTCGTTACAGTTTTGCAAGAGATAAATCCTCTAAGAGGTCAAGTGCTCCTTTGCACAAGCTGAGCATGGTTCTCATTATACTTTTTCAACAAGAGTATCTCCCAGCACTTGGGAAAGCAACCATAACCTGTAGTTATGGTGCTACTGCTTAACTCACATATTTGTGTTAGACCTACAAGTGCATGTTGAGATGAATACCTCATCAGGCACAGCAACTAGTTCCAGTTAGGCTGTGCTCATAAAGTTTAGATCTATTATTACCACTTAAAAGACTGTGACTAAATAAAATACTGAGAAAGGTTAACAGAAGAATCTGGGAAATGGCCAGAATTTGGCAGTTTCATTAAAATGTCATCAGCTGGAGAACTGAAGACTTATCTCAAAAGCTCCTCTGCCAGTTTAAATATATATTGGGATGAAATTGATTCCAGGGAGAAAAAAGTAATTTACAAAATGGAAGGAGTCAAAATCACCTTAAATCTAGCCATGGAGCCTCATGTGAAAGGCAAGAAACATCCCAGTCCATGCATGTTCTGGGAGAAGCAAGAACAAGCAACTCTCCATATTCTGCATAGAAAATTATCTTCAATACAGACATTTAGCATAAAGTTCTTTCTTTGCAGAGGAATCATGTTAGTATCAATAAAAAGGAGATGTCCATATTAAACCTTGTTACTCCAAATTTGTCCATGGAACAATAGCAAATATTAGACAAATCTGATGTAGATTTACATCTCTGACGTAAATTTTACTCCAAGCTCTTATAACTAATATTTTACAGATAAAGCATTTGGACAGTCTGCCTTGCATATCATTCAGCAATTGTTTCTACGTTTCATGTATCTTCTTAAATATAAAACAACTTCAGATTTGGGCATTCTATTCCACTAAGACTTTGGAGTAGCACCACTGTATTTTAGGCTGCAATATATATATAAATGAAGAAGATATTGAAAAATTGGTCTCGATGGAAGCACTAATATTAGACTGCTGCTTAGAATTGGCCATTATGTTTTGTTCCTCTACTTTCTCTCTTTAGCTTCTTTATTCTAATCCTTTCTCACAAGTCATGATCATCCCTGTTGTCTTGCTCTGGATTATCTACTGCCGGACAACATTCGTCTGTGCAGTGCCAGAAACAGGTGAAAAACTTTCAGCTGAGACCTTGCCAGACTCAAAAAAGACGGAAACACATGGATGTTTCCCTTTCCTCTACCAGCATGGTGGTTGCTCATTCTTGTTCCCATCCTGATTCACTACAGGCATAACATCCTCTGAAAAGCTGTGTCTGATCACTATTCTGTGATTTATAGCTGATTATTAAAAGTGCAATATCTTTACTAGTTTCTACTGAGCCTCACCCTTTTAATTTTTTTCCAGGACACTTCCCTAATTCATCACAATTATTTTGATACCCAATTCAAAAATTCCCTATTCCAATTTACATATTTTGGCAATGGTTTCCATAGATAAAAAGCCCCATGCAGTATACTAGAAATGTCAGAAACTCCTAAATGTCAATTATCATGGTGTAAATAATATGAGATAGATTGCACATCTTCCATATAAGATTCTGTTTGTTTTATGTATGTTGGTGATTGTATTCCTTCTCTTCAAGCTAGTTTTAATTTTGATTTTGTGTAATCTGAATAATTATATTTCAGACATATTAAAAATCTTCATGAGTTACTGCTTTTGCACACAAGTATTAATGCATGAGAACCTGGCAATATTAAGTGAAATATTTGAGCTCCATAAGCAGTATTAGTTATTTAAAATTTTCCATTTTCTATATTTGTATTACAAGAAAGTAATTTAGCAGGCTCATTTTTAAAAAGTCACAAAGAAAACACAAAATTCAGATTTCAATTTTGAAAAATTAAAAATATCAAATATATTGAATATTGAAACAATATTTTAGTACACTCTTTGCAAAATATGCACTTTCACTTAGCTTTGGATACTTTAAGTTATCATGACAAGTCTTAAGCAGAAGTTAAATTTACACTTATATTGTGAATTTTTCTGTGGTTATTATGCAGTGTACATAGAATTCCCACACTTAATGTGCTTGCCCTATCTCTACAACTGCATGTATACCAGATGATACACATGTGGTATTGTGTGCTTAAACTTCATGGACATTCTTGTAAATGGCATAGAGCCAAACTGCAAGGCAGCATTTTTATATTTAATTATTTAAATTAAAATATTTTTAATAATTAATAAGTAATATGTTTGAAAATATTTTCAATTAAAAAGAGACTGATTTTGGTTTTTTAATTTCCAACTCTTTATAAAGGTACCTGATTTTCAGAAGTGAAAATATGAGAGTGGTTGTTCACAGGCCTGCTAGGAGTCAATTTTATTTAAATAGAGGTAATTGCTTACTTGAATAATTTTTTTTCTATAATATGGGACTGCATCAAGATAATGATCTAAATGATTAAGTTATGCAGGGAAATTACTGAAATTAACTCCATATTTCAGATGAAATCAACTACCTTGAACAAGGCAGTATTATGTGATTCTGTGGACATATCACACCTCAGATGGCTTCTGCAGACAATGGACTTCAAAAACTCAATTTTATCAACAGGTGGACTTGCTCACTCTTCATGGAGTGGATGAAAGAATCATCCCTAAAGCAGTGCATAAGAAATGAACCCTTGTGCAAAGTCTGATGTTAACGGCACAGACCAAACATGAAAATAAATTGAACTTCCATTTCTGCTTCAGTCGGCAGACGCTCGAAGTGAACAACATAAGCAATGTGATATCTCTAATCCTAGTGTTGATACAACATTATAGAATATGACCATCAATGAGGCATCTTGCCTATGGAAAATACTGTTTTATCACATACGTTATATGTGTAAAAGAGTTTCACAAAATTAAATTATGATTAGCACATCCAAAACACTGATGAAAGCAATACCATGATAGAATATGTTAAGTTTCTTTTCAAATCACTGTTTATAACCCAAGAAAAATAAACCCACAGATTAAATAATACCCAAGAATTAGAATTCCCAGAACAGTATGTGACTGTAATCCTCCTCAAATGAATGCTATTGCTATACCACCACATTCACTTACCTTAGGAAGTGTTCCAGAAGAAGAATGAGTATTAAATCCTAGATTATCTGCAAAAGAATCAAATGTAAAATGATACTGAGCAAGGTGAGAAATTTGTGTAAGAACACAGAATTTTACAGAGGGGACCCTCTGTGTAGTTTTTAGATCACATTACAGTGTTTCTCTTGGACTATCTTCTTTGCTTTTTGTCTCTTACGTGCAGCAGACTCTGGTACTTCTGGCTGCAGAGACAAAAGTAAGTGCAGAGCCTAAACAATTCAAAGGAGAATGAAAATAATGGTGGAAAAAAGCATGTGGTGATTCAAAGGAGCGGAAAAAGTAAAATCTTCAGGGTGGGACTTGATGATCTTAGTGTCTTTTTTAACCTTAATGGTTCTGTGATTGTATTTTATTATTCTATATCCCCTCACCATGGCACTGGCATCCAGTTAGAATGACAGAAGGTGGCCTTAGAGAGAGAAAACCAGTTCTGGAAGAGCACAAGTTGGACATAGATCAGTCAGATGTGTCTCTTTTCCCTTTTCACTCAGGGCAAGAGGGAGGACAACGTCTCTTCAGTGTGACATGACATTAAAGAAGAAACAGGACAAAAAGCACACTGACACTTTCCCCCACCTCTTCTCCTCTCCCACAAGTTATTACCAAGGATTGCCTCTCTGACCCCATTTTCAGTGTTGGGTGCAGCCAGTGCCTTGTTCTGCCCTGCTCCCCCCAACATGGGAACTGCACGACTCACTGCACCCATCCTGAATTCCTGCAGCAGCACTGCTGCTGTGCCTGCTTCAGCTTGGAGTAAGGACCACTGCAGCAGTGCTGGGAAGACCACCTTTTTCATGTTTGTGCTCCAAGTAACACACACTGCCACTTTGAGCAGCAAAGCACGTTTCTGATCTAACAATAATTTAGACCCAGCAGTAATTTGATTTGGTAGCCCTAAGCTACAGGATCTGCCTCCATCATGCACAGTCTGGCAGATGCTACCTTATTTGAAAATGTGGAAAATCTGAACCCACATATATGGCAAGTGGAAAAAAAAAAATCACACATATTTATTATAATTATCATGCCTTTTAACACATATAAAAATAATAGGAATAACTCACCATTTTCTGAGCCATGTTGTGGACAAGGAATGGTAAGAACCCTTAATAATCCATCTGGTTTGTATGAATAATGCTCAACTAACTAGCAGAATGAGAGGAAAGGGAAAAAAAGAAATAATGAGAGAAAAAGATATGAAAATATGGGGGTGGTATCATTAAATATATTGTCTCTTTAGAAATGTATGCGTATGTACAACAGTTGATATATATTACAACAAATGAGCTTGGAATACAGCAGATCTTTACTGCAGATGTTATTTACTTTATTTCTATTTAGTAGGGGCGCATGTTTCTGAAGTAACCTTGTGGATAAATGTGCAATGTGATCCAGGAATGGAATTTATAAGGGTCAGTATTCCCCCTCACCGGTTCTGCTACTAAACAGCTTTGTAGCTCTGAGCAAATAACTTATTTTTATGTCCCTGAGTTCCCACTCTCTCTATCCTTTTTTAAATTTCTGGGGTTAATTACAGTGCAAGAATTGCCTTAATATGCAATGCTTTCTTTGGACCTCAGAATTGCAATGGGATGTGTACAGTTAATAAATATAGCACCAGCAGTTGCAGCCATTTGTGCTCCTGGATTGTCCTCTCCACATCATTTTTTACAGGTTTGTTACTGCTATTTTCCATTTCAGTATAAAGGAGAAGGTCTGTAAAAGTTGCAGACATGTTCACAAAAACTTTAAGATAGCAGAGCTGCTTTTAAATTTCCAGTGCCACCAGGAAAGAAATACAAAAATTCTAAGAATTAATATATGCAATCAAAGATTCATATTTTAGATCTTTGACTCACTTAGCTCATTTTATTAGATTTTTAAGCAAGAGGACATAAGAGATTTCTGTTGGGATTTCAATTCCCTTAGTATTTTCAATTTACACAGTCATTTCACCAGTATTCAGTTTTAATATCAACTATGGCATAGTCAGCTATGGATTTCTAAATTGCTCAATCTTTACCAGAGTTCAGACATATTTTGGTGGTAAGCCTCAGCAAGCCATGCTTTAGCAGACTTAAAGGTAGAGAATTTCAAAGCCAAAGACTGCCTTATGTGCGCAACATCTTAAACCATCCTCTTTTTGCTTGCTAGAATTCAATTGGTTGCCATCATAAAGGACATTAGCAAAAGACTAAACCAAGCATATCCATTGTTTAAAATGGCTACTTGCAAATACAAACAGACTTTTGTTCTAGACAATGTTCAGCTAATGATATAATAACTAATAATAATCACAGTTTTGAACTCAGTCAACCTGCAACATCACATTTAAAAATTATTAAACTCTCTACACTTACATAGCTTTCTACAATAACATGTATTTTCTTCATGTACAGAAACCACACAATGTTGGAAACATATGACAAACAACCTGCCAAAACATGTTGGTTTTAGCCAAAGACTATTGTCACAAGGCGAAATAAAACAACTTTGGTCAGTTGGTCAGTTATATGGAAATGTGATGACAGATATCCACGTGACATAAATTTAACAGACCTGCCAAAGGGTGTCAAATCTTTTTCCATCTGGTATGGAGAGCTTTCCTGTCTTATCTCTGTCAATACGATAGTGCAGTACTTTTCCATCATTCAGCAGGCACAGGGCATAGGAACCATTGCTGTCCCTTTCTCGGATACTGTAGAAATAAGAAAGACTTTCAGGATTTAGCAGGAATGATTATTCTTTTTTAATCATTCTTTCCTTAAAGCTTTTGAATTAAAGCAAAAACAAAATCAGTACTGCAACTTCTGAAAACATTTTGTTAAGCCTTTCTTTTATTTCTTAGTGTAATTAACTTTCAGGTAAATTGACTAAAATTTCTGGGTTTTTTTCTTTCAAAAAGGCAAAAGGTGAAAATAAAAAATCAATGATTTAAGGCACTGTTAGGCACCTACAGAACACTGTACACTGCATAAAGCACTCTTTGGGCAAATATGCATTTTAAAGATTCTGCAGTACTACCTTACCTCTCTTGTGTATTTTATTTTGAAATAGCGAATGACAGTAAGAACAGAAGATTTAATACTAAAAGAATGTAATGTGAAAAGGCAAAATTTTTGTGTTTGAAATAGCTTGCTGTGTGGCTGGGAATTTAAAGAAAATAATATATTTCTGTAATTATTAATTCTTATTATTTCAGGAAAGACATTAATATTTTGTTGCAGATTTCACATAAAATTCATATGAAACTTCACATGGTACTGAAGTGTATGTATCTTATTTATACGTTGCCATGGAGAGAAGTCCAAATGTAATATAAAAACTTTGTCTGAAACTCATAGGTAGGATGATCTCCTCCGTCCAGGAGACCTCCGGGTGCCCTCTGAGATGCCCATAAAGCATGACAGAATTGTTACACGTGTACCCAGGGCTAGCTGACACTGAGATCAGCATATTCTGGTTACTGGACTCAGAGCAGATGGGAAATTGTTACTAGCTCCATCATAGTTGGTGCAACATTTCTGAGTTTAGAAAGAAGGCTTTTTCTTCCAGTCAGGTTCTCATGCTCACTGACAGCTGACAGTGTGACAGCAATAGAGTTAGAATAAAATTGACTGGCTTTTTCTCTTTTTTTAATGAAAATCCTAGATTCTGGAGCACTAAAACATTCCTTGTTCTGATATGCACAGAAATCTACTTACTCCCCCTCGAACTTTTGAACGGCCTTGAAAAGAAATATAGCAGTAAATTCTCACTAAGGTTTTAAGAAACTCTGCTAGTGCAATACTGGTATTTGCTATTATATCTCAGGAGATTTCAGAGGCAAGTATTAAATTATTCTGCTCAGCTGACTCTCTCAAGGCTGAAGTAAAACCGTGTTTTGTCTGAATTACTTTTGCAGCATTTTCTTTCAAGTAGCATGATTCTTGTTGCCTAAGATGTGAACAGGACGCTGGCTAAAAGAAAAGGGAAGTAGGCTCAGTTTTTTGTTTTCTGAAACCAAAGTAACTTGTGTAAGTCCCTGTGGTTTCTTCATGGCATATAGGTGTTTTCTCAGCATGCTGATTTCCTGTGCTGACTGACCAGTGAAGAGTATCAGGCTTTGCTAAAATCAAGAGTGACTTTTACTTTGTCTTCTTCTGACCTGCTCAAAGCAAATAAAGCTTAGAAAAATATTTTCAGAGTAGAGGGCATTGTTTCTAAAACACAAATGGCAATTCATTACAATCAGGCTTCTGTTCAGAATAGCACAAATAATAAAAATGCAATTAATTGTTTCTCAGTAACAAATATCCTTCATGCTTCACAGGGAGAAATGGAGAACTGAATACAATTCAGTTCTACTGAAACTGGTTCTCATTTGCAAGAGTTGTTACTCTTGTGAGAGGCATTGCAAGCATCTCTTGAGAGCACAGGCACCCACGGGAGGGGAGAGCTCTGATTTCCGAAGGCTGTGGCACAGACCCAAACAGCTCTGCACTCTTCAGTGCAGGATTTAGGTGGAGTTCAGGTTTATATAGTTGTAATTGCATTTTGGAGCTTCCCCCCTGCAACCCAACAGCTACACAACTCTGGAGCCATCTGCAGCTCACAGCCATGCTAACTTTTGTCAGACATCTCTATCACTGCACATCCTGGAAACACCTCCATTCCATGATCAATCAGGGTCCAGCAGGGCCCTTTTTCCCTTAGGGTTATGGAGCAGGTGGGTTTTAAACTACAGTCAGTCAACTCCAGCACAGCTTAGATCCCTATAAAAGACAATATCAGGATGTACACAACCTGGATCCCCACAAAACATGAAACCAGAAGATACTACCATCTTTCAAAATATGTCTAAAATGCAGAAGTATCAAGTGCATTGAACTGACAGTGGAAGTCTTAGTTTTGGGAAACTGAACCCATACTGGGTGACATGGACTGCCCCAAGCCACATTTCACAATTTCACTTTGGTTTTGCAAACTGTGGTAATGGCTGTCTAGGTTAGGCGAAGCCTCCAGAACTGCAGCTGGGTAACAGTATCCAGTTTTATGTCAATGGTTGCTGTAAAAAATAGAATGAAAGGCAAATGCTATTCAAACAAAAAGGTTGTAAATGGAAACCTATTTGAATGGACAGAAAAGTCTCACATCTTCTTGATGGTGCTGCCTATATTACCCAGAGCATTCACATCAGATCTGGGAGCTCTCTTCATATATGGAACTTTCCTTGTATGGAAAGTAACAGTTTTCAGAATGTTGAAAAAAAAATTCAAAACTCCCAATGCACTCTCTGCTTTAAGGTGCTCTGAAATTAAGCACAATATTTACTGTTCTTCAATAAAACCTGCTAAATAAAAAGATCTTAATTGAAAAATTTTGGCAAGGAAAGATGGCAGTGAGGTATCACCTGGTCTTCCATTACATGCTCTTGCACAGAATTACAAATGTACAGAAGAAAAACATAACAAACACCTGTAAATAAACAACACTGCTGTTTCATCCACTGAATTAATAATAAATATGAAGAATTTCATTGAGCACAGATTTGAGTACATAGCTATATTAGAGAAGTGCCAAGGTACCTAGATTTTTTTGTAACATACATCTTTAAAACAGCAGAATAGGGAATGTAGAAATTAAAATTGTGACCTGGTGCAATGCAGAGAATATTTAGGTGTTGATTTTATATTTCATGCAATGTGTGTTTGAGTACCTTTTGTGGGTTTGGGAGTGCAACCTAGACAGCAACAATTAAAAATTTGGACCACTATTACAGACAGTGTAAATAGCTATCATTTTCTTCCTTTGGTATTTTCAAAAAGAACAATGCCCCATTTTTTTCTGCTTCCATCTGAAAACCCAAATGATCTGATCCATCTATTTCTAAAGAAAAATATCCCTGAGGGTCAAAGAAATAAATTGCTATTACAATATGCCTCATTGACTGTGTAGAAAAAAACAGAATTCACAGCATTCTGCAGTGGAGAATTATAAAGAAAATAAACAAACAAGATGCTTGCTTTAGGAATGGTGTGAAATTATTCTTGCTTCTGAATCCAAAGGCATGCTAAATTTTATTCTTGGCATTGCTTTGCCTTCTCAGCAATTACAGCTTTGTTGGTGCCAGAGATACTGACTTTCCCCATGATGGATTTCCCCATGATGACGTGCCTTCTGATGGAGCTCCAGCTATTCCCTGCTTGTCTTGCCCTCTCTCTTCATGACCATCTCCCTGGTAATGCTATTAACAACATGGCTACTCATTATCACTTCAAAGATCTGCTGCACATTGCATATGTTCCAAGTTTGCGGGTAATAAGAAATGAACTTGGTGCCATCTGTAAAAGAATTATATAGAGGACAAAAGGGATTGACTGCTGTCTTCATTTGCATCATTTCTTCTCCCCTGTTCACTAACACATTAAAAGCTGTTTCAGAAATGTCAGAACACTACAGAATTTAGGAGATAGCTCAGCTTCACACTATTACTATCTACAATAGAACCTAAAATTTCATCTCCTAGTAAGTCTGCTGCACAGTCACTAAATGCTTTTGTGAGAATGATAGCATCAAATTAGTCTATTTAGCTGACTTCACCCTGGCAGCAAAATACACGATGCTCCACCAAACCCCTAACAGCTCTGCAGTAAAAGTGCACCTGAAATAGGGGATCTTCTCAGTACAGCTATCTCAGTTTGGTCACAGCTTTTCTTCACAGCTCAGACTCACTCTGCTGCTGAAGCACCCAGTGCAGAACCCATCTCGAGAGGCCACAGCCCTGCAAGTGGCACCCACACGTACCTAACAAAAGATCAGTAAACAGCTCTCTCAAAGTGTCATGGGCATCATTTCAGCACCTCCAGAAACACAGTTCACTGTCTGTGTATTGTCATTTATCTTGAAAAACTTTTATGGTCATCTAAGCCTAGCACTCCTTGACACTTTCAAGAGGACCGTCATCATTAATTAATACCCCTGAATTAAGGTCACATTTAATGGGATTGTTTTCATCTATGATGTCAACAATGTCCAGTCCCTTTTATGGATAGAAACTTAATACTGATAGAATTCTCTAAAGATTTTCTACATGGTCAGAAAAATTGCCTAGCTCAGTATGCAGTCTGCAGCAAACTCCTAGAAGAAGACAGCAATATGAATGTAAATATATACTGCTACATATACAAGAAACAGAAATTTTGGTCAGGCAAAAAGCAAGAATACTCTTACAGATAAATGCACTTCAAAGTTTATTATTTTGAAATACTGTTACTAGTATTAAGTATTATGACACTTAAGAGACAGTTTAGTTTCTAGTTGTCATGGCCATGATGTGGCATATTACTGTGACTCATTATAATAGTCTAAACTAGATTAGTTCTCTTTAATATTCCCATTGTACTTAAGACATTCATATGACATCAAAATAGTTTTCTACTTTCCTTTTACACAACTGTTCTTATTTTATGTGAGCTCCATACAGCTATGAACACATGTAAAAAGTTTATATAGACTAAACTGCTAATTTGCAGTGCCTTCACTCACAATTTCCCTAATATTGAAATTTTTAGCTAAACAGTATTTCTGAATATTCTTTTAATTCCTGGTTTATTTATGTAAGATCGCATGCTCATATAACTTAAGTGGTCATTACTGATGGCAAGATATGCTAACCCTTACCACATATCAGAGGTGTTTCTTATGTGAAACTACAGAGGAAACTAACTCTTCTGCTGCTTGCTTTTAGCAAAGTGATAATTTATTTTTCAAATCTTCCATACATCCATGCATGAACTCACATGGATATCAATAATATTATAAATATTTAATGGTACATTATTAATAAAAATACTATTACAATATTAATAGAATTATTACAAAATTTATCTATGATCAGTGTTCCCTACCAGGCAAAATGTAATAAACCACAGAAGTTTGGTCAAGAACCATCACCCAACAGAAAACGTAAAAGCGTTAGTGTAGTTAAGTGGGCCTTCAGATAAAAAGTGGGGATTTTGGTTCATGCCTATAGTGGCAATCTTACATAAACATACTTCACGGAAGAGGTAGAAAATACTTCCCATTTCATGTCATGGTGTCTGTGTCTGGTTTTGAAAACAAACTCTCTAGCATTCACATACATACTTTACTGACTTTTAAGCCATGAACGAAACTTTAAAAACACCTTTGAAAATTCCCTGGTAAAACATCCACATTTAGCTCAGAATTTTTCTTTGGATGCATTGTAGTATTATTTTTATGGTGCTATTCATGATCTTTTGAACTGCAGTCAGGAAGATTTTCTACTATTTCCATATTTAAACCATTAAAAATAATTCTAGATTTGATGATCTTTTATTGCTGCACAGCAGTGTTAATGAAATCTACATGTTAGTTGTATTATTACACAGACTGCTGTATTGGATTTTGTTTTAAGGTACGTAGGTCAGATGGATAGAAAATTTCTGGTGTAATGAAGTTTCGGAGAGCCCTGTTAAAAATATACTGAAATATTATATCCTTCTAATATTTATTATTTTCTCCATAATAAACAATATGGTTTACTTGTGGACTTGTTAAATAACCTCAGAAGTACCTAATCTCTTCAAAAATCTAGCTCCTCTCTTTGTTCCCAGGTTCCAATTCCTACCTCAACAGGCAAACATCTCTTAGACCTACATGTCTGAAAGTTTTACTTTTCAGTCAGCTACCGGGCTTGATTATTTTGACCAGTGTTAGAAAAACACTAATTCACAGTCACAACTTCAAAGCCTTCAATCCACAGATGTACAGAATATTCTGACAAGCACTGCTGCTGGGTAGGTAAAACTATGAGATGTCTGTGCCTGAAATGTTAAACAGTGTAAAACACACTCACACTCAACAGTTTTGCTGCTTCTGCTTCACTTAGCCAGAAATGAGTGGTTTATTTCTCAATACCTGCTGAGCAAGCCCGTGTTAGGCAACCCACTGCAGAAAGTAATAAACCTCTCTGAATTAGGCAGTTCTTTTCTTATTTGTGATAAGCCTCTAAGTCTATGGGTCTGAGAGCTAGAAGAGCTCAGGAATGTAGAATAACTGATTTTAACACAAATTAACAACCCATTATTTCTCTTGTTGCACTGGCTACTGAACTGTGGGGTAGATGAAGTCCTCTCCCTGTGTTCTAAATACTAAAATAGCCAGATAGGAAGTCTGTGCAAGAACAATTAATGCATCAGAAATCATCCTACAGATCCAGAATAAACAGTCTTGTCCTTAATAAGAGGTACCCAAGATCAACACACCATCAGTTCATATTATTTAAGCTCCAGTGGAAGTTCTCATGGTTTAAACAGAGCCCTAAAATTAGCATTTTCTCCTCTATGGGTTTCTCTTCCCAATATGAAAGTAGACACCAGAGTCCCATCAAAACTATGTAAAATATGGATCCATTGACATATCCAGTCCTATGGGATAAAGTCTGAATGCTTCCCCATAACTCGTTGAGCATGTCACTGCAAAGAGCATCAGAAATGCCTCCTATCAAGAAGAATCTCGATAGGAAATCTTCAAGGAACACAGGAAAATTCTGGAAAAATCCAGTCAAAACAATAGGACTGCTTATAGAAGATTAAAAAGAGACCACTGTTTATAATAGAGGCTGAAAATGTCAAATTTCTTAACTAATTTCACTCCCTTACTCCAAAACCTATCCCTGTTGTTAAGAAATGCTAGCTAGTGGATCCTTTCCCTTGAAGAAAAACTAGATTCCTTCCCCCTGTGTTCCCCCTCCCCTCCTTGCCGCAAAGAGAAATACTTTGGCCACAGAGTTTGTGCCTGAGGCAAACTGGAAAAGCTGCCAGTTTTAATACATGCTCAACATCATGACTCAGCTAATACAAAGTTGGTTTGGCAAGGTGATAAAACAGAAAGCAAAAAAGCAATATATTTTTAGGTATAATATTGTCCTTAAAAGAAAGGGTTGAATTTTGTTTCAATTACTGGACCTTCTGTCTAAAAAATAGAAAAAGAAATTAGCAAAGTCACAAGGCAAGAAAAAGGAGAGGCTGTGTGGTGATGCTGGGCTGGTAATTGTTAACAGCAACTATGTCCATCAAATCCTCTAAACTCCCAAGCATCAGAAAGAAATATATCTATCTCCACAAATTTTTTGTAACTTTTGTAACAGTTTTTTTTACTACAAGTTCAACAAAATCTGTGACAAGCTTATTACAATGCTTTGTTACACACGGCAACAAAAGCAACTGGGTGAGCGCCCCTCTGGATGTGGTCCCCACCAGCAGGGAATATGAGGCTGAAAATAGGCATGCATGGCTACTTGGGTGAGAGTGCCTATGAAAAACAAAAAATTCAAGTACTGAGGGAAGAAAAGAGAGTTCAAGAAATGAGATGTCACTACAGTCAAAGTGTTTGTGGACCTCATAGGAATTTAAAGGAGTTAGTGGTTCCTGTCAACTAAGACTGAAACATGGAAATATATGAGGGTTGTACCCACATTAGCAATAAGTATGGCACAATTACAGAAAATCAGGAAAGAATTGGTGCTGGGGAATCATATCCTTCCTGCACTTGCTTGTGGGGTTTCACTTTGGACTACCTCTAAAAAAAGCCAGAGAAGGCTGAGTGCTAAAGAAAACTACATAGGTAGGTGATAAAATTTCCCTCAGAAATTATACAATTCTAAGTGATCCTTACTTGGCCTTGAATTTTAAGCCTAATTTTTCAAGTTTTTTATCATTATATAAATACTTTCTGTGTGGAGGTAGGAGTGACAAAAGACAGCTCTGTTAAAACACTGGTGTTTTTCAAATGAGGATTATCCAAACAAACCCCTCGTTCTAGTCCCTTATGGCTGTAATGCCACATTTGTGCTCAGAAAACAAAAGATCATTAGGCTTGGTAAATGCAGGGGGTAAGAAGCAGACACAAAACATTGCTGTCAAGGTAGAAGTGATCATTTTATTGCTTAACTAAAAAACAAAGCACTACCCCTGTCCCTGGGAGACTTGACAGGAACAGATCCCAACGCTGCTAACATAGTTTGTCTCTAATTGTTTAATACTACCAGTTTAATAAGCCTGTATATTGGGTGCAGGTGGTCAGGCTTTGACAGTGGGGCTGCAAAGGCCAGGGAGTGCCCTGGGCTGGTCACAACTGCTGCCAGCAGGCCTTAGTGGACACCTCTGCAGGTGTTCCAGGCTTTTGTTATAATTCTCCATCTTTAGTTAAGTGAAGGAAGGAAGCATCATGTAAATTATGCTGAACTGGGTGCCCTCATTGTGGATGAACCATGTTTTCGGGCATAGTCTCATTTGACATTATTCAAAAGAGTGTACAGTAACACTGGAGGCAAACAGCAACACCACAGAAAAATAAACTCACAGAAATTTTCCATTGTTTTTGGACCCAATGAGGATACGGTGCTCTGACTCCTCCCGAGAGATCCTCCCGTGGAACCACGGCATCTTCTCATGGGCTGTAGTGGCAATCAGCTTTTCCAGCTGAGGCTTCTGACTAATGATAGCTTGTTCAAGAGCATGCCCCTAGAGAGCAGTAAAAACACAGTGAAACAGTCAAACTATCTTCTGCAATAAAAAGATGACAGGTAGACTCTCAGTCTTTTGGGACTGCTTTTGGGACGTCTAAAATGAGCACATATTTTTTGTGTGTGACGACCTGGTTGCTATAAAGATTTTAAACATCACAAAACTAGGGTTCCCCTTTTACCTCTGAGAAAAAGAAGGAAAATTAACCAGTAAATAAAACCACTGATATATCAGTATTTAACCTTAAAATAAAGTCATATTGTTATGCTAAAGAGGTTAGTGTCAGTCTGCAATTTCAAACGTACCTCCAAATACATATCTTATGGCAGTGTACTGAAATAAACTAAATGTGCTTTGCACTGTTACAGCCTGTCTATGTCAAAGACATCAATGCAAATTTTCCCAGACAGAACAGTCCCCATTTTAGAGTGAATTATTCAGAGTAATATTAACTTAGACATTTCTAACCTTGTCTACAACCTACCACTTCTAAATTGGGCTCAGAATCTGAGGGCAACCCCCACTAGTTTCACCAGCGTTTAACCAGAGTTCATCAACTTCCCTCTAGATTGAGCTCAGACCCATCAGAAAAGACACTGAACCTCAGAAGTTATAGAAAATGTTGTGTAAGTTTCAGGTTTTCCCACTTTGGGGGTTGCTCCATATATTTTACAGAGCAAAATTCATTGGGTTACTTGCTAGCAGCAAAAGAGATTAGAAACCCTGAGTATCTTCATGAGTCCCTAAAGGTAACTTATGACATCTCAAGGTGAAATAATATTCCCTTTGCAGCCTCCTACACTAGTGTTTCCATGTTAAGACTGGCTTCTTCATAGTCATTCCCAGGAAAAAATCCAACATCTTGTCCTCCACGTGGAAAATTCCTGCTTGACCCTTGCAGCATTGAAGATGTATAGGCAGTATTCCACAGTGCAGAAACTGTTCTCCTTCAGGAACAATTTCTGTTTTGGACATAACTTAAATTAGCAACACAGAAAAAAAAAAAACAACTAAGAGAGTAAGATGTAAAAAAAGTCATCATGTCACCATGCCTGCCTGCCTGCATATCAGTCAATAAAAATCAGAATTAAAAGCGATGAGACAAACAATTTCTGTATCTTATTCATTACATGGATTAATTTTTGGTCCAAATCTGATGACATATATTAGTGCAGAGGTAGATAAGATTATGCTAGACCAGGACATTGTAGAAATTCTAAGTACTTAAATTTCAGGAAAACTATGCTTATTGCCAAGTTACTGCATGTACTGGGGAGAAAAAGCCCTCACTGTTCAATCTCAAACATCTGTGATTTCAATGTGACAAAGTACTACCTAGCAGCAGCAAGAACTGGAAACAAACAATGCAATCGCTTTTTCTCCTAGCTCAAAAATTACTTTACGGCGAGATCCAGTCTGGTTTTACCTGCAAATTCCAAGTCTGCTTGACATATTCTCTGATGAGGTTCTCTTTCAAATCTTCGAAGGGTCCTGTTTTGGGTTCAACACCTGGTGGCCGGTTGAAAGGTTTTCTCAGCAGACAGATAAGGCCATCAGCTTCCCCTGAGTGATAATTAATGAGTTCAGCAGGACTGGCATGCGACTTGCCTCCCGCAATAGCATAGGAGCCACTCAGCTCCCTCTCAATCGTATAGTGGTGAACCTTCCTTCCATGGGCCAAGGAGAGGGTGAAGCCCCCCAGGTAATTGCGGCTCTGGCGGAGCAGGTATAGTCCGTCACTTGCTCCTCCCTGCATTAGATACTCCTCAGCATCTTCACGTGTGATATTACCAAAGAAGTAAGGCAAATGGTTAGCAGGGTTTGATGTGCTGGAAGCCATGGCTTTTTCTTTTCCAAGTAGCAAACCTAGAATACTGTATCTGAAAATACAAAGACAGAGACATGAATGTCAGTAGAAAAAAAGAGGATAAGCCAATAAGATGGCAGTTCACCTGCAGTACGTTTGCAGAATCACAGAATGATTTAAGCTGGAATACACCTCTAAAATCATTGAGTCCAAACTTAAACCAATCACCACTTTGTCAATAGGACCATGGCACCGAGTGCTCTGTCCACTTGTTTCTTGAACATCTCCAGGGATGGTGACTCCATCACCTCCCTTGGCAGAGCATTCTGATGTTTAACAGCCCTTTCTGTGAATAAATTCACCTGACATCCAACCTGAAAATCACCTAAAGCTATGCCTCTTGGCATAACTTGAGGTAATTTTAGTAATGCATTTGTTGGTGATACGTATGTTGACAATTAAAAAAATAATTTAAAGTGAAGATCCATTTTTATCTTGTTAGAAGTTGTTTTTCTAAATCCCAGCAGCTCTCTTTTCCTGTTTCCCAGCACCTTGGCTAGAAGTGGACAAAGTGATCAGAAGTTCAGTTTCTGCTTCTATCGTTGTGAAACACATAGGAGTTAAAATATGAGCTCTTCAAAATAGAATGAAGCAGCATTTTAGGGAAGCCATGCAGCAATCTGTGGAATCAGCATGAAACAGTTCAGGCCATATGGGAACAGGGTTAATACCACGCTTGCCTTGTAGCTGGCCAAATTGTGCAACTGAGTTACATGAAGAAAAGTGCAGAAGACTTTATGGATAACTATATAGAAAGGGAGAGTTCCTAATACAATGGTCTAACTGAGGAATGGGAGTCTTAATATAGGGCCTTTTAGGACACAGCACTTCAGAATGACACCTTCCCTGGCAGTGCTGAAGCAGGCAGAGGTGTTTGTGCCTACTGCTTAATTCGTATTTGAACCATCAGTGCTGATTTGCTGCCCCTTGTGCTCATGTCAAAAAACAGTAGAGAAATACCTGTGAATATGCTGTGAATACATAAAGGGTTGATGTGGGGAAGGAAAGTGGGAGAGGAGCAGAGTCAAATCAACAAGGCTCACACAGTATAGAAAACTAGACAGGGTACAGTCATGTCAAACCACATGGTGTGCAGATCTTCCGGTCTTCTCCCACCATCCAGATAAGGGCAATCTCAAAGTTGTAAAGACATTGCACCCACAAAATAGAGCTTTGTGTAGCATATTATTTATTGTTCCTCTGACCTGCAACTAAAAGTTACTGGTTTAAATTCCCATACTAATCTAGCAACATAACTTTCACTTATTAATTGCAACAAAGTTATAACTGAAGACACAGAAGGCAGTCCTTAGTTAGCTGCCACCAAACATTAATTCTGTATGCAAAATGACCATTCTGACTGTACCAGACAAAGCTTTCTTCAAATAGAATAGATTAATTGAGTAACAATGCAGGGCCAGAGGATTGCAATCAATAATACAATGCCCATTTGGAGGCCAGTTAATAGTATTGTAACCCAGGGTCAGGACTGGGGTCAATATAATTTAAGATTTTCATTGAGCTGGTGGACAGCGGGGAGAGCACAGCCTCAGCAAATTCACAAATAATACAAAATGGCACAGTGGCTAAACATCACAGGGCTGTGATACAATTCAAGGAGACCTGGAAAGGTTAAGGAATTCTGATTAAAGTAATTTAATGAAGCTCAACAAAGGGAAACACCCCGTGAAGCAGACTTTGCCCCTTTTGAAACACCTGCCTTCCTGGCTAGGTGGTGTCTAACACCCTTGTGATGTCACCATGGAAGGAAGGTCTGTGACCAGGATGTTTTTCAGCAGGGTCTGTCTACCCACATTTGTCCAGGGCCCCTGTAGGTGTGCACACAGGGCATGCAGGCTCCATCAGAACTCTTGGCTTGCTCTGCCAGCTTTGGCACAGGGGACAGCAGCAGCTCTGGGCACTGCACAAGGGCAGTCCCTGCTGGTGCTTCCCTTCCCCTGCCCAGCCGCACAGGGTTTCACAGCAGCCTGTCCTGGGACAGTGGGTGCAAGAATGCCAGTGCATTGGTAGCTGGGAACACTCCCAGAAAATTCCTCTTTCTTCCCTGACCACTGCCCCCAGGTACACTGTGCTAAGCTGGTGGCGACCGGGGGAATCTATGGGGGCTTAGGGTTGTGGATATACAAGCTCTTCTCCCCAGCCCTCCTGACATCTTGCCAGAGCCTGTAATATGCAACACAGATCTCAGCCTGAGCACTTGGGAGATGTGGAGAAGATCAGGGCTTTCCTCCTGCTTTCCATCCCTGCCCTCCAGTGGGGTGCAGGGATAGGGGCACAGGCCAGCTGAGCCTCACATCCCACTGTTCTGTCCCAGCTGCTGCTTTCATGCCTTCAAGGAGAGCCAGCAGGAGGCTCTTGCATCATCTCCCCTCTCCCATAGCCTTCTGATGCCCCCCTAACTTTTCTACTCCGAGCACAAAGCAAACCCCATCACTTTGTATGCCTCTCTTGGCAGGACATGGCATCGGGCACCTAGGAAGGCACAGGGGAGAACAACTCTGCTGCAGGGGACAGTGGCATGGGGCAGACACCCCAGGCAGAGCTGGAGTCAGTCTCTTCCTGTGCATGAGATTATGAGAGGAAAAGGCTTCGTGTAGTACTGAGGAGGTTTAAATTGAACACCAGCACATATTTCTTCACTGAGGAAGTTACCAAGTATTGGAACAGGCTGCCCAGGGAAGTGTTTAAATCACCATCCCTGAAGGAATTTAAAGACCTGCAGAATGGTGGTTAGGGTCATGGTTTTGTAGTGGATTGAGTAGTGATAGGCTTACTATTGGACTTGATAACCTTAAGGACCTTTTCCAACTTGGAATATTTCTATGACTCTTTGATTCTATTATTCTGGAAGTCATTACAAATATGGATGTTTCCTTCACTCCTGCTTGCTTGTTTCTTCCACACACTCCCATGTAATTTTTTTTTTTTTTTTTACTCCACTATGCACCGCACATTCTGGCAGTTAGGAGATGAATATACATCACCCAACTTCTAGCAAAATTGTGCTGGAAGGCAGGCTCTAAGTCTTCAATACCACTTTCAGGAAAGATGGAAGAAAACAGATTTACTATTAGGTTTTTAGTAAGGAAAGAATTTGGATGCATGACTGATTAACACTGGCTCTTCACCAGCAATGTACAACTTGCAGAAAAGAAAGAAATAATCCCATACTGTGTTTCATGCCAAGAACGGTACTGCACTGCCTGCTCAAAACACCTCAGTAATACATACTGAACAAATATTTATTTTAATGAATGTAATTCATTAAAGTTAATTTTTGCCATACTTCTAGTTTCAGACTTAAAAAAGATAAAGAACATCACAATGAAAATAACAGCTAATAAAATAAAAGTGGGGTGGAGGACAGGGGGGTGAACACATCATCTCTCGCTACAAAAAACTTTATGATTACTGAAATTTAAATTCACTTTGACTACAATGTGTTTCAAATCAGGCTACTCTCCAGAGTATTTTTTGTCTCTTATTAATCTCAGTGTTTTCTACACCCTCTTTGGGATGATTTGCCCAGAAAAAAGTTCTTAAAAGGTGAAGGGGCAGGGGAAAATCCACTGGTTGCAATTTAGATGAAATGTCAGCAATGGCACTGGTGAGGGACTGTCTTTTAAATCTTCAGAATGAGAAGGTCTGCTATATAACGGGTTTCCAAAATATGAAGAATATTTCTCAGTTATGAAAAGAACAGCAGCAGGATTCTGATGATCTCTAATATTTCACAAATTTTTTATTTATATGTGTCTCAGAAAACAAGAGGCAAATAATCACAAAAAAACTTTAGATAATGATTAAAAACTACTTAACAATTTTGGAACAATGTCTGAATTTGGGATGGCTGTTCTCTTCATTTGGGATTTCAAAATCTTGTCTTTGTTTTGGGAGTGCAATACCCTTCTGGGATCAGTAAAATAATAGAAGAAAATGCTTGAATTCAGAGTTTTCTCCTCCTCTAAGTTTTTCCAGGTGCACAAAGAGTGCAGCGTTTTTCAAGCCAGTGCAGTTACAAACATGAAGCTGTGAAATGGAGATTTGACTCCTAAGGTTGAATGTAAGGCTTCACCCTTATGAGTGCTGAAGGAAGTGTGGCTGGCTGCCCAAGAGAGGCACTTGAGCATAGCAGCCACAGAGGGTCTTAAGTGCAACTCTCCCCTTGGTCATTAAATATGACTTTTAAGGAAGCTACAAATGCATGCAAATATCAGGCTTATCCTACGTGAAAGAAAAATATTACACAAACGCATAAGAAAATTAAGTACTCACTTCCTCTCAGGCAGCTTCCTCATCAACTCTGCAGGGTACTTCTGACATAGCACAAGAGTTTAGTACCTCACACATTTCATGCATACTAGGAAGCAAGCCATTTTCTCAGAACAGATGAACAAAATGAAGGAAAACTCATCTGGAAGGTGTTAGAAAAAATCTGCGCTAACCACACTTCAAAATTTAGCTTAATTCTATTTCATCTCTTATTTATTCAAGGATAAAGGGAGAATAATTACTATATTGAAAAGTTTGCTTAGCAAATATTATAATCTTACCAAGGTACTATCTCCCTTCTAACATTAAAAAAATATAAATAGGAATATGAATTTTTCAAAAAAGACCAAATAGTATCATGGTGAGAGACTTAGGAATTTCTGATTGATTAGTTTATTCCTTCATGGGTAAGATGACTGAAATGTGACAAAGATCAACAGCCGTGTAGTGGTGAAACAATGTGACAAAAAAATGTTCCTTATTTAGGCAGCTACTTTTTCACCTTTTCTTGTTTTTCAAGGTAGTATTCTGTGAGCAGGGTATGAAAATAAAGAAGTAAGGTTTCAAGTAAATGTCTCGCATGCATGCATACATATAAGGCACACTAGACAGTGTCAAATGATGAAAATATGCTTATTGAAACAATTTGTTCTAGAACTGGGTGATATTTTAAGCACCACTTGAAGTTTAAGAACTTCAACAGTTCTCCAATTATACACTGAAAAACATTAATAATAAAAGAATAATATGAATGTACATTTTTCTGAAGGTCCTATTTAATTAGGATTCTTGGAATCAAGATGTGTGCCTCTGAGAAAAGCAGTGCAAGTTTTTTTAAGATTCTTCTCCATATTTTCAACTTATGTAACACACCTGAAAACTAGAAGAAATTCAGTATGCATAGAATTATAAATACACTTTTGATGGTAACTTGATATACTATATAAAATATTTTTATAGTTTCATGGTTTCAGGAGAACCTTAAAGGTATACTCCAAACTAATGTACACTTTGAAATAATTAGCACTGAAATATTATAAATACATTGGAACTACCTCACTTTTAAAAAACTAAATTTGAAGAAGTTTAACAAAGAAAATGGATTTGAATTACTGTTCTATTCTTATTTTTGCATCCTTAAAATCACCTTCCAATGTGTGTAGACAGCTGAACAATGGTCTTAATTTGATCATGAGATTACCTCTACATGTCTCCTTTACCTTTTTGTATAAACATGAAGATTTAATTTCTATCTACACCTTAGGAAAGGAGTTCTTATGAGCAAATTATGCAAAAACAAAGGAAGAAAACAGCAAGTGTCTAAAAGTAAGTCATCAGGGCAGGAAATGCAACAGAATATAATTTTATCAAGTAATTCAAACAAACTAGAGTTTGATCAAGGCACTAGAGTGAACTTACTGACCTACTGAGAAACATTTGAAATCCGGTGTAGTTCAGCAGGTAATACTGGTGATTTTGCAACTTTTGTAGATATCTTCAAACAAAGTCCCACTCATCACACTGAAGGGGATGTGTCTAGAAGGGAAAAGTGAGACTTATATTTCCTTGAGTTCCTGACGTTCCTCAGGGAAGTGCCCGTGCTGAGTACTGATGCTCAGGGCACTGTGTCTCAGTCTGCACCTACTGCGCTCTAATCAGCTTACAGCTTACAGCAACACTTCCATCGCTCACGCTTGGGCCTCCTTCTCCATGTTTTCTCCAGCTTCTCCCATGAAAAGTTTTCCTCATACAACCAAACACTCATCTCTGAGTTCTGCAACATTTTACTAACAATCTAGGCTATACTGGTCTGCTTTTTGCCTTGTACTTCAGACTCTAAAAATGCCTTTTTCATCATCAAAGACTTTGATGTTATTCCACAGATGCTCCTTGCCAGTGCTGATAGATACAGAAAGCATGTGATAGTTTTTATAGCAAGTTTCATATTGTTATATGTTCATATTGTCAATTTATACTGACAATAATGCTAGCAAGTACATGTTATCAAATTTTTATTATTTCTTCAACACTGGGCTCTTTCCTTAGCACCTCTATCTAATAAAAATACTTGTATTGGGTGTCAAGTTCCATATTTTACTTTAACAGTTCAGTTTCAGAACCATTTTCTTTCAGATATTTTTGGTTTTTATTTTATATTGTGATGCTTTCAGGGTGACAACGGTGTTTCTGCTAAGGTTTTTAAACACTGCAATGTATTCTTTTACAGAAACATAGGTCAATTAAATTCTGTCTGGGAAAAATAGGGAACGTGGCAACTTTGGACCAGAAGACTTTTCTGATGGGAAATTCAGAACCTGGATCTAACAATATGATCACTGAGCTTTAGCATTGTCCAGTTTGTAGCAGGTTAATGTTTTATCATTATTATGAAAGTTACTGGCCTAGCTAGCCTCTTTCCCAGCTTAAGAGGAAAGAGTTTTTTCCCTTATTATTCATGTAAATCCTCAGCATTTTGACCATATCAGAACAAATATGTGCCTACTAAACAGGTGGCATTGGTATTTCATCTACTACCAAACACCATTTATCTCCTCTCCTATATCAAGGAGTCATTCATAAAATGAACTAAAAAGGAATATCACAAACACACCTAAAAGCCTCATGAGCTTCAAAAAATCGTGATTTTAAAAAAATATTTTCCTATAGATTTACTTTCTGGAGTCATCTTAATCAATACTGAGGGCAGATTTTTTTTTCTCCATTGAAACATTCCAGAAATGCCCTCATTTACTCTAAATTGCATCTGACATTCTGATATCATCAGACTACTCCACGCAGTCTAGCTGCTGAAATATTTCCTGGGGAAAAACTACTTGACCTGTCAACACAATTACTGCCCTATTACAAGGCAAACAGATGCTTAGAAAAAGTACCAGAGCATTCATGTTCTCTTTAGGGCTTTTCTATAAAAACTTCTGACCTGAGCTCGTGAAGGAGCATTCATCACTAAAAAAGCATTCTTCACTGATGCTAGGAATTTATTGTCTCTCTTATACACCTTTCTTTTGGGATTCTCATGTCTTTGGTAATCTTTTCATATGCCATAGTTTTCCTCTAATAAAGTTTTTCTGCTTTGGTCTTTTATAAAGCTCAGCATGCTACTGTGAAAGAATTAAAGAAAAAAAAAATAGGTGTTTATGGATTGCAGTAATTCTTTCCCTGGAAGTAAAAAATCCTATGATATTCACACATATTAAAATAGAAACAAACAATCAAAAAACCCCAAACAATTTTTTCTCCTTTTAGAAAGGAGGAAAAAAAAAAAAAAAACGGGATCACTTACACAAAAATGTGAGCACTTTCTTCTACACCTTTACCATCTTTATCAGTTACTCCCTTACATCTATTTCCACTCTTACACTGTCAGAAATACAAACACTGCCTCTTGCCAAACACATCTCTCGTCAAATCAAGAATTTCAGACTTAAAATGGGTGGCATCATTTCTATGGAGACAAAGTACTCGACTGTGATTGGTCCCTATTAAACCACCCTATAAATAATGGAACCACTGGGATGAGGTAAATCTGCAGGAAAGCATTTCAGATACTGCAGGCAGATCCCTGTATAATCTCCTATTTTCCTGCTGTGGTAAGATGTGAGCAAACTTCTTTGGGCACAGACAGATCTTCACTAAGATCAGCTGTGCCTCTGCAGTGACTGCAGGATAGTACAGGTATAATTGTATAATTGCAGGTATAATTGTATCTTCCAAATGCTGGTGGAGGGGGGAATAAAAAAGAAAAAAAAAAAGCTTGTGTTGGGGTGCAGTTACAAAAGTCTCACTCAGGGAGCCCCAACTATCTCCCTTCAGGAGCTACTGAGACATACATAAATGTATATACATACACACACATATATTTTTGTTTCAAACATATATTTACTTCCCAGAACTACAGTAAAAAGTAAAACTCCTTTGCATGCCATAGATCACACTATGATTGCACAGAGGGAGCTGTGAAATGAACCTACAAAGTCAGTGAAAATACATGAAGAGCAAAACAAATTATCATCTTTCTTGCAAGAAATCACTGAAACCACTAAAAAGAGATTGAACAGCTTAGGCAATGGCCTGCATATTTTCAGGGTCAAAGTTAAAGTGACATTAAATATGACAGTATAGCATGTTGCCAAGTGGAATATATTTTCATTTTTACAGAACAGTTTTTACAGAGACAGCAATAACAAAACTGTTATGGACAAGACAGTGATGGCACAATAAAACAAAGACACATCTAACTATCACAGAATTTTCCCCCAGTCCCAAAATCTCCTTTCAAGGTTTACTATGGTCTATTATTTTTCACAATTCAGAAAGAAGTTGCCAGAAAAAGATCTATCAGAGCGTTACACCAAAAGCATTGATTCAAAACATTCCTCTTTTTCCAGGAAGTCAAAACCTGGAATATCTGTTCAGTTTCCAAACACACACAAAAAAGTGCCTTGGGCAGAGAGCTGATAATACTGTAAATTTTCATTACCATAAGACCTGAGAAAGGCTGGCTTCCTCCAGAAGGATCAGCATCCAAGTGTGGATGGATCCACAAGCCATAACTTTGTTTTTCCTTCCTTGTGACATTTTTAGCAAATTTGCTGGTAAGCAAGACATCTCAGAACTAAAGATCATGAATTCTAGAAACAAGTTGCTATAACCAAACAGAAAGTGAATTAAAAGCTTTATCCATTAAAAAAAAAAAAAAAAACCAACAAAAACAAACGAACAAAAAAACCCCGCAACAAAAAACCAATCCAGGAGAAATTCAACATTATTACAGCAGTCTCAAAGTTTTATAGCCTTACAGGACTAAGACAAAATGCCACATTTCATTCAAAGTTTCAGATAAAGATCACTGTGGTTCTACTAGTTGGCAGACACACAAGATAGGTTTATTTTACATTCCAGCAAGTGTCTTCATTAGACTTTTTAAAAATCAGTAATTGTGGCAGGCTGGCATTTCCAAAGCTATTATGCAGGGATTAACTCCCCTTCTTTGTTCAGGTCTGTCTCTACTCAGTTCCACGTCTAGAGGCTACGGATGTATAAATTATCTCAGTTTCTTAGCCATGAATATTGGCCTTCACTTACTGTTAAGCAAGAACACTTGGATCCTATTATACTTCATTCCTTATCTGAAATTTATTGGTCTATCTTTGTAATTGCTAAAACCTTTGCTGAACAGATGCCTCAATGGACTGGCTCCATGAGTCAGAGTGGTAAAATGAGGCAGGTTCCTCTTTCAGACCAAGGTTATTTTGCCATCTGAAACAGTCTGCAGTATTCTCCTTTATATAGAAAGCACAGAAATTATTGCAGGAACAAGAACAACTTGCCTGTCATACTCCTAGAATAGGCAAGCTTCTATAAAACTGGGCAAGCCTTCCCAGTGCCACATTCTAGAGTCTATAAAAATTATACCATGTTCTCTTATTTTTTGAAAAGCTTCTGCTAGGAGCACAGACCAGGTAAATGTTCTGCCACAGACACACTGTAAGCACCATCTCTTAATGGAAATTACACCCACAGAGGTATGGGGAAAAAGGTCAAGCATTTCTGTTTTTTGAAAGGAAGATGTGATACTAGCTCACACAGCCAGGCTGACAGCAGCAAGGATCACTTTCTTAAAATCTATCTAATAATGAGAAATATAGAAGCACAGCATTGTTCAGGTTAGAAGGCACCTGAAAGATCACTTACTTCCAAACCCCCTGTTACAGGCAGAAATACCTTTCCCCAGACCAAGTTTCTCAGAACCCCATCCAATATGGCTTTGAAGACTGCCAGGGGCATTTACAAGTTCTCTGGGCAACCGGTTCAAGTGCCTCAACACTCCTGCAGTAAAGCATTCTTTATTTAACAGCATTTTTGTTAGGAAAGGAATGCTTCTCTTGAAAGATACTATCACCCAACAATTGCACCAGCTCTTCCTGACTATGTTTTATGAGGACACAGATATCATAAAAGACAGACGGCTTTGCAAAAGAGACTCTTCATTAGTGCATCAGCCATTCAGGAAAGACTAAGTCTGTATCTCTCCCCATATCAGCCTTTATCATCAGAACAAGCAGCACAGATAAAACTTACTGCTCATTGATATAAAGACAGAACAGACTCTTAACAGGCAGGAACTAATTTTAACCAGCAAACAAACTGAAACCTAACCTCTCCTCTCACATAAAACATAGAATGTTCCAGAAACACTACACACAGCGAGAGAAAGGTATGAGCCCACTCCTCCCATCCTGCAAAGTAAGCCCATTAGCAACCCCTGGACCAACTGAATTTATCACTCTGGGTAGCAAGAGGATGCACCTGGCCTCAGTGTGTTCTGGGCCAATAGGCAGTATTTCCCTATCTCTTGCATGACAAACTGCCAGGCTGGAAAAAAGGAGCTGGTAGTCAGGCCTCTTTTTTGATGGTGTGCTGTTCTCTGCACAGCATCAACAGCTCCGTCTCTAAATGGTCCACTGGTAATTGCCACTATGGATGGTTGCTATGTCAGGATAACAAAAAGCCAC